AACAAACAAAAAACCCAAACAACACACACACACACGCTTTTCTTAAGCTAAAAAACAAGTTCAAGATAACCCAGAAATTTTAATTCTCTCCAAAAAATGTTAAATGATTTTATATGGGAAGGCCTGTTAAGTAGGTGACAGAAGGAAAAAACTCAGTACTATAATAGGCAAAAAATATATAAGAATCCTTAGGGTCTGTTTGGAAATCCATATTTGTCTTTCAGTTCAGGATTTGACCACACTACGATCGGTAGGTCTATACTTAGTGCTTCAAAGTTCAAACTATGATAGCATATGAAATGCAAGTAGATTATTTCGTACTATGATGTCACCGAAACAATGACAAAATATTGAAGAGAGTCCTCAAAACTGACTTTTATAAAACCAGTTTCTTCTGAATGGTTTTAAGATTATGTTCTACCCTGAAAGAACCTAAATACAGTGAGAAAAATTTTCCTAAACCAAGAACAACTCATTCATGTTGTCGTCATACCTACTAAATCTGGTTTTTGCATTCTCCAAACTCTTAAACTAAAAGATAAAGGTAACAATAAGGATTATAAAACTAAGGACAGTTCAAATAGCAAAGATTTTTCAGGCATAACCTGAGCAAGAGTTGAAAAAGTGCAAGGTAAATCTAGATCTTGCTCACACGCTAATGAAATAATTTAAGATGCAATGTATCATGACTATGCCGACTTCCCTGGCTGTGAATATATGCCTTTGTATACTTAAAAGAATTTTAAATATGACCTGTCGTACATTGCTGTCAAGTTTCACACAAATTGTAACTAACATTGATTATAGAAATTTGCATCTGCATATTAACTTGTGGGTTCCTTTTGTTTCCCATGTCAAACCAGAATCAAATATATTAATGATGAGAAAAGGGAGGGTTACATGATTATAACCTGCACGACATAATGAACCTAGGTTTTTATGGTAAAATTAGTTGCAATAGCAAAAAATTGAAAAATAAATGAGCCAATAAGCTCCCTTGTCCATGAAATATACAGGGAAAGATTACCAATTACAGATCAAAGTAACAGTATTAGAGCATTCATCTTCTAACTCGTTATCAATCTTAAATATACAAGCAAAGAAAAGAGTACCTCTCTAAGAATATTCTCCAGCTGTCTTAATTTTCCATCAGTGCTTCCATGGTTGTTTCCAACAGACACCTTCAGATCATCCACAGAATTTTCAAGGTTGCGGGTCCTTGTCTCCAACTGGGATAGTCGTGCACTAACACCATCCATTGCATGCATCAGATTATCAGAATACTTCTTCATTGCTCTATCAATCTCAGAAACCAAAGATGCATCAACGACATTGCGGTCCCTCTCTAAAATGTCCTTGGCAGGGTCAACGGCACCAAGAGAACTATAATTCTGAACAAACAGGAAAATTGCAATAAGAACATCAAACAATATAGTACATAAAACAATTCAGCCAGATATTGCAGGCTTAACAATTTAAATTCCCAATCACATCACACGACTAGATTCACGGCACTAGAGCTCCAACAGACATAATATAAATGAAATGTACTAGAACTCCAAAATAACAAATTCTTTAAATATCATGCCAGCTAGGATCTATAAGCATTAGTAACAAAAGAATTCCCTTTGAAATCTCTCCCAAAATGCATCACTGAAATATCAATTATCGTGTTAAAAAGAAAAAGAAAAAACTCTTAAGAAACTATTAATCCATATATAATCTCAACAAACTCTAAATGAGCATCCATTTTCGAGTTCCGATCATTCAAAAAAGCAATGGCAATCGTAACCAGAAATATGAAATTCCATATAAACTACGAAGCGTAAACTGCCCATTCATTTTCCTACGAAGTCCAAAAATGCCCATTACAAGTTATTGACAAGCAACTAGCTCTCATTTATCACATCCCCGAATTAAAATAAAAACACTAAGGCCAATCATCCACCAATCAAAGCCAAAGCAATCCAACTGTCATAGAACTTGGAAGAGCGAGACCCCAAAAGCTAGCCGTTGAGGTTGGAGAACCCAAGCCTGTATAAACAGCACAAAGGAAGCAAAGGAAGCTCATACTTCCGATGTGGGATTCAGGTGCCCATACACCTCAATGGAAACAATGACAAACCACCAAACCTATACAAGCCACACAGAGGAAGCCCATACTTCCGATGTGGATTCAGGTGCCCACACACCCCAGTGGAAACCATGACACCAACCCACAAGTATACATAAATAATTATCATATGCACATGTGTGTGTGTGTGTGTATAAGCGAAATACAAAGAAAGGGGGAGTCCATAGGCAATACTCTGACGGAAGAGGAGTTCGTTTTAGAATCCAAAGAATTCCATGTCCTAACCGATGCGTCGTCATTTCCGGAATCAAAATTCATTGACCGCGGAGGCGGCGGCGACGTTGATGCACCGGCGGGTCGAATCGGCAAGAAATCGTAACTCGGTACAATATCATCTTTCCTTCTATTATGATCCTCCGATGGGCGGTTCATGAAATCGATGAAATCATCGTTACTGTTGCTATTGTTGGTTTGAGAGTTGGATAGATCCATGATCTGCTTGTCCATAAACTGCGACGTCGTATTACTATTCATCTGAGTACTCTCTCAACTATATATATAATTGCAGAGGGGAAATTGAAATGGGGAGGGGGAAGGGGGGAGAGATTCTTGGTTTTGGATAGTTCTGAAGAGGGTTTTTGCATAATTTATGAGATATTACCAGAGAAATGACGTGAAGAAGAAGAAGAAGTCTTCGTCACTTCTTGCGCTTTTCTAACAAAATCCGTGGTCTCGTGTAAACTGTAGAGAATAGAAGGAATTGAACCGCAGAGGATTTGTTTGGGCCCGTCAATAATTGGACCGCATTACTGAACCCAATTAGGAACCGGGAACCATATTTCATTGATTGATAGGACCATAATTGTACGGGAAAGTCATAGGAAAAGGAGAAAATTAGGCTGCGTGCCTATGTCGTTGGTCCGTCGAAACAGTCTTTATGTTTTTCCTAAGGCTGGACAAAATTCTCGAATCGAACAGATCGAATCGAACCCGAACCTAATTCGACGGTTCTTCTCAAGTTAAATACCCGAACGGATATTTGAATCAAGAATCGACGGGTATCATTCAGTTCTCGATTCTAAGCCAAGACCCAAAAAATCGAATAAGAATTGAATTTCCGTAATTTTTTTAGTTAATTTATTTTAAATAAGTAAAATTATTTTATTTTTTCTAAATAAATTTGTTAACTAGTTAATTTAGTTCAAATCACAAAATATGATTTCTCTATTTCTAATTTTCAGTTCAAAATCAACTTAATCAAATTGACCTCAATTTTATCCAAATCTATTATTCTACTGTCGTGTCGTTTCTACCGGAGAAAATTGAATTAAAACTCTACAATATCTCTCTTAATTATTTTGAGCTTGCTATCTTTTTATTTCTGTGATTTTAATAATTAAATTTATGAAGAATTCAGCAAAGACAGACGTGAAACACATAAGATTGAACTACGTTATTTTGTAAGAGCTAATATTGAGCATATCATTAATTAAATTAACATAACTTTGTATATATTAAAAAATTTAATTATAATATGGAACCGAACTCGAACGGTTCCGTAATTAAATTTGGACCCGATGGTTCTACTTACTAAATACCCGAAAATTTCGGGTCGGTTCGATTCTCGTTAGAATCGAACCAAATCGGACCATGTCCAGCTCTAATTTTCCCTCATCTCATGATCTATTCAACGTATTCTCCATGGAAAGGGAATATAAAGGCCAAGAAACAATATACAATTGTTTGTAGTAACAAACATTCGATATAACGAATCTTGAATTTATATTGATATTACATAAAAAAAAATAAAATTGGTCATCAACCCAAAAGAATCCGTTAGGGGAATGTTTGGAGACAAACATATCATCATCACGTCCTTAGTCTTTAGTTATAGTCAAATAACTTTGCATTTGTACATAATATGTATGTCAGTCAGCCTATATGAAAAAAAGGGACATTTGTATATTCTAAATCCTTCTATTAGGCCTTGGCGTGGTTTGGTTTGTGTCGATTTTGACTCTAACTCTAAACAAAACTAAATTAGTCAGTTTGGGTGAATTTTGACCCAAGTCAACCTGCTCTAACTCTTAAATCGAACCAAACCAAATCAAGGTCCCATTTGTTTCGATTAGTCGGTTTGGACTTTTAGTTTGAATTGAATTTTTTATGTAGCTTAACTATCTGAGTAAGAAAATGCTGAGTATAAAATAAGGAGCTTGTAAAAGAAAATTTTCAATGCTATTACTTACCAACAACATTATAGATTGAAGGAAATAAAAATAAAGTTATGAGATTATAACTTATCTTTTGATTTTTTATTTTTCTTAAAAAAAAGAAAAGAAAAAAGGAAAAGGCTTCAAACCGTGATAGAACTGACCCACCATGATTTTATTTAAAAGAAAACTGAACCAAACTAATTACATGTGTCCAACCAATCCAAATCGACCCAAGTCGGTTCAGTTTGATTGGTTTGATCGATTTTTTGATTTTTTTTGCCCTGGCCTGCCTTCTATTGTCTCTAGCATTTTTCCTTTTTAAGTATTAATTTTTTAATTCATTTAGTTATGTTAGATTTTTAATTTATAACTTGTGATCCCAACCCAATTAAAGTTAAAAACCATCCCAAACAGATCGATTTGGATTAAGTTGGTCGATTTAATCGGTTTGGATCGACTTTTGTTCAACCCTACTCAAAACTGTCAATTATGCTCACCAAGATGTTGGGATTGATGTAGCATGTATCTTAAGGCCCCTAAAACCACATAGCACGCGGAGAAAAACTGTCGGCACGTGGAGAAATTAATTACCTATATATGCACCCCAAAATGTGTCAAGTAGGGTTAATGTTATTACTTTTGCACTACTCTTTACACTTACGATCATTTTCCTCCCATACTAAAGGTTAAATGGGGAGATAGCCTCTGTTGAAATATGGTTTACACATAAGGGGATGGAGAAGAAATGAATAAGAAAATGAAGAAACAAAAAGAACAACAAAATAAATTGAATAAAGGCTCAAATACGTGATCGTTGCTCAAACGATATTTGCTACTTCTCGGATTGAACTTGATGCTTAAAGGGACTCTAAACAAAAGGTTTGCAAGATTTTTCAAGTCTAAAAAAGGATTAACATTTAAGCACTTAGTGAAATCCTTCAAAACTTAAGAACACATAACCTAGATTTTTGAATATGATAAAAGGGAATTTTTATCTTTTGTGGAATGATTTTTGTAGAGTGTATGGTTTTCTCAAATGATTCTAACGTGTCAATTATTCATCATTCAAGACCTATTTGTAGGCGTCAATCAACATTACACAAATGGTACATAAAACATCCAAAAGACACCAATTTTCACTTTAAAAATTCCTGCCAACGGCTAGAATTTTGTTCTATACGACCTATGCGACTACATAGTTGATCCAAAGATAGGCCTTTAGGCCCTGTAAAGGACCATGCACCGGCATGCCTTTATAGCCTACGCGGTCGCATAGGTCAAAATATATGGCTTCAATTCAACTTTTCATTCCACACACGTTTTATTGATTTTTGAACAACGATATAAAACAATCCCCAACTTGTTTAATATTCAATAAAATCTTATATTCAAAATATATAATACTCATACATAAAGATTAGATATCTTTCGATTTGAATCTAACTATAATGTAATTCAAACAAAGTAAAATCAAAATTAAAGGTAGCATGAAATTTTGAACCAGTTATTTCATGTGACAATACCAGTAACAACACTCACAAGTATCACGCGTTCTCAAGTTCCTCAATCTCGCTTAGTGCTAATATGACCTCGGGCTTATCATTTTCAACAAAATTTTAAGAGAGAATCTCTTACTTTTTATTTAGGCGGCACCTCCTCGAAGTTTATCTAGATGAAATTCTTCAGGTGTCTTTAATTTTTGAAAGTACTTTTATTTAGTGCTGAACTTGATTAAGAGCTTAAAGCTCAACCTCATTTCAGAACAACCAACATTATTTAATTAAAATAGGGTTATCGTAGATTTTATAATGCTGAAACTATCCACATATCAAATGATTTGTTGTTACCTATTGAACTTATGGATTACTTGTTAAGAAATGACAAGTAAGGATGCTATCATTGGTGAAACTTTTAGTTCAAGGGTTTCAACTCCATCATACTCGAAGTAGATGGTACTAAATCTCTATTTAGATGTTTAGTTAAAGAACTCACTATGTTTTCGTTTGACTTAATATAATTTAGGAAAATTATTCCATTCTTGATTAATCTTCTTGTGTAGTTATGTTTGAAACTCATATGTTTAGACTTTTCATTTGTATACCTCGTTGTATGCTTTTGCCAAAGGTATCTTATAAAGTAGATCATTAAGCCACTTAGTTTCTTTCCAGATTTCTGATAATGCTACAGATTCAGATTCCATAGTTGAGTGTGTTATATACGTTTGTTTTTTTCGATTTTCAAGAAACAGAACGTCCTCTAAGAGTAAATACCCATTTTGAAGTGGATTTACTTTCAACCAGCATCGATAAATTCCTCTAGTATAGCAGAAAATTTAGTATATTGTAAACCTAAGTTAATGATTTTGTTTAAATAGCCAAGAACTCTTCCAATTACCTTCCAATGGTCCTTGCTCAGATTACTAGTAAACCTATTAAGTTTACTGATTGCAAAAGCTCTATTCGGTCTTGTACATTGAACTGTATACATAAGACTCTATGTAGCACTTGCATACTTCAATTGAGCAAACGCTTTTCCATAATTCTCTTTAAGTTTTAAACTTGGATCAAGATGGGTACTAAATTCTTTTGTGTTTAAATGTTTGAACTTATTTATTACATTCTCGATATAATGTATTTAACTTAAATGGTAACTCCCACTAGTTTTAGTAACTTTGATACCTAAATGGTATCCATTTATCCAAGATCCTTTATCTCGAATGTAGAAGATAGAAACCTCTTCCTTTCTTTTATTCCATTTATATGATTACTCATAATCACTATGTCATCCTAAACATTCGAGAGGTACTCTTTGGCTACAAGTCTAGCCTTAAAAGTATTAAGAGAACCTTTAATATTATATTTTCTCCTAAACACCCATTTACATCCAATAGGTTTAGATCCGGATGGTAAATCAACAAGTTCACATGTATTGTTTGACATAATTGAATCCATTTAATCTTTAATTGCAGCTTTTCAAAATATGCTATAACGAAAAGCCATAGCCTCTTTATAAGTTTTGGGATTGGTTTCCACTTGCAGAACAAAAGGAGTTGGTCTTATAACATTTTTCTCATTTTCCTCTACTAAGTTAAAGGAAATAAGTTGAGAGTCAATTTCATCCGATCCTAAAGACTTCTCAATTCGAGTTCTTTTGCTTCTTAGAGGTTCAATAGATTCATAAACATTTTTAGAAGATGTTTCATCTTGTGTTCCACTAGAGCTTGAGATCTCTTTAGAAGTTTCCCTAATTCATTATTCGAAGATAGTGAATTCTCAAAGAACTCTACGTCATTGGATTCAATAATCACACTGGTCTCCAAATTTAATCATCTATATGATTTGCTATTTCTAGCATGTCCAACAAAGGCATATTTAATGCCCCTTGGACCTAACTTGGTCTTATTAGGGTTCGTAGTCTACAATAAGTAAGACACCCCCATAC